GTCACAGAGAGGGAAGGTGAGACGGTTTGTCGTCTGTATTCAGTACCAGTACGTGGGGAACCGTTTCCGCTTGTCTAGTGGAGCATACAGACGCGTCAGCTCCTCCTCAAAGGTCTCCAAGCGGGGAGTACTAACAAAATCGACGGTTTGCTTCGCAACCACCTCTGCGGGCGTATCCTTATCACCGGCTTCGACAGTCTCGGGATCGGTGAGATCGTCGAGAATGCGTGCAGCCACAGGCAAAGGAAGCAGGTGACCGGTTCTCGCGGAGACACGCACTCGGTTGCCCTTTGTGTCGTAGCGCCAGACTGCTTGACAGGGTGCATTGTCTGAGGGATCGATAAGCGCCACCTAGCAGAATAATAAATAATAATTAAATAAACAAGTAAGTAAGTAAATATTCGACCCTGGTTGCCTAGTTCATCATCAGACTTGAGCACACGTGCAAAGGCCAATTAAAATTTCAAACGTGCTTAAGAAATCGATAGTGATTTAGTGTGCGCGCCAGTTAGCAGCCACCGTTTACATCAGTCCGAATTGATCGGTCCCCGTCGCTTCTATCTTTTCCCGAGGTTTTTTTGCACGGCATAAAACTTAAGATGCCGATTGATGTATGAACCATCGATGTGCATGACCTCAAGAGACTCTCGACTTCTTTTTGGGGCGCAGACTTCGATTTAATCAAGTTTCGTTCCAGGTGAAGGTGTGCCCTGCATCGAGGCTGTGCATGACCACTTAGAAAAGATGGTCATGCTTCTTGACTGCTAGTTGATATTTATGAATGCGCGTGGAGACGGATTTTCCCGTTTGGCCACACCACAAGCTTTGCAAGGATATTTAAGCAAACTTATTTCTTGCCAAGATCGCCAATCCCATCCTTAGGGTGCACGAATTGAGTCGGTTTGTGCGCCCATTTTATTTGGTGTTTCCGCAAGTGTTTTTCAACGACTTCAGACACATCCACCTATACGGAAGGATTCTTCATGCATTTTTTGAACGTCTGATTGGGAATGTTTAGTTGCTATTCTTTCGACACGTGCTGATTCATGCATTAAGGTACAACATCTCTAGGGTAACTGTTTGGGGAAAATAATTCAGACAGTTAATTTAGTTCCATTCGGTAGCTTTTTTACCAGATTAATCTGTCCAGTGCAATTTGACGATTACTATTACAGTTATTATACTACGCGTGCTAAGTGAGTGATCATGTACTATCACTCTTTTCGGCTAACCAACAACTGATCGCTTTTCGCCTGCAACTATGTGAGTGACGTGTTCATTGATTTTTTCTTCGCATTTATACATTTCCTAACCATTTTTTTATAAATCGGTAGATCAAATGTGTTCGCCTATCTTTCTCTTAATAAAAATGAACTGAAAGTGATACTTCTGACTGATCGGATCAACTTTAACCACGCTGTCCGCAAAGCTCCACCATGTGGCGGCGCATTTTATAGGCAAGAGAACCAAGTTAGCGATTCTTTGCGGGGCCACAAGACTCGGTTTCAGGCCCTAGGTTACTTACCACGAGGAGTAAATCACGGCAAGACACCTCAGTAAACAGTACCTGTATGGATGTAAGGATAGGCTTCTGGAAAAGTGGTTTGCATTGGTAAGCAGTGACAGACTTAGGAGCGGACCCTCGAATACCAAGAAAGTATACACATTTCAGCAGGCGATACAAAGGGCCCGGTACGGGCTTGCGAATCGAATTTACTTTACGCTCACCTGTGTGACTGTATCACGGACACAGAGACATCCGCTTCCTCTCAGTACCCAAGAACGGGCTGCAATGTCATTATTGGAACTCTCGTAGTGGCTAAATCAGGGGTACTTGATACAAATGGGGCCCTGACAGTCATCCGAAATCATCCCCGAGATTTGAAATAACCTTTAGCATACAAGGCAGTAAACTCGAGTGTATCATTTCGCACATTCAAGTGTCCAAAGATGCCAGATATGCACTAAGAACGGTCAAGTATAAATGCTAGGACATATGGGGATAACGCATATGAAAGCCCAACTTTCTGCCAGAATGAGAATGTCCCTTCGTAGGGAATATAAACGGGGACAGTTAGTGGGCCAGTATAATAATGGACAAGCTCAAGGGTAAAAGGCAGCAGCTAATCTCCTTGACATTTACCTCCTCGTTTATCTTGAGGTAGTTCTCCTCGGCAACCAGCGACTCATTCGATTCCGCTCGACGATAACGGGGGTTCAGTCCCTCGACGTAAACGAGGCGACGCATTTTTATCAGGGAGGACACCAAACCCACCTGAAGAAAGAGAGGAAAGCGGGTAAATGCAAACAGGTACGAAAACAAGCGCAGAACACGTGCTGTGAACTCGGCAGAAGTAAATATAAATTCGTGTGTGCGTCAGACGTAGACGGTCCACCTAATTTAAGTCACTTTAAGTCAGTCACTTTAAGTCACTTTATTAAGGGAAGAAGGCTTTCGCCC